AGGGTTTCGTCTGAGCTAGTGCCACATCATGAAAGACGCAGATGGTTATGCGTGTCTTATCCGAGTTGGCACCACGTAAGGTTAAGGTGTGTATCACCATTTGCGTCTTTCTGGGATTCTGACGTGCATGTAAGGCGCAGATGTCCAATTAATTTCCAACCGTTCACACCTCCCACATTAATTACCCCATCCGGCCAAACCCTTCCCATATCCCTATAAATACTATTCCATTATTCATTCAAACACACACCAAATTCTCAAATCCTTTCATACCCTCTCAAAGCCCAAAATCTCTTAAAGCTCAAACTCGATCAAATTCTATTAAGAAGGTAGAATATTTTTACTATATTATAATAAATTAATAATTTATTATTTTGTGTAGCCACATCGGTACAGATCGTAAGATATTGCTGATGAATGTATCTCCATTGAACTTAATGGGATGACACCATGATACGGATTTCCCATTATGGCGTTAAAATCATTACACATTACTGTAGTTGGGTTGTCAACTTGTTGAGTTAGTCCATAGTGGGAGCATAATGACATACCACGAACAACACACACTTCAACAAATTTCGCATACATCTATGTATCGGTGTCTGAATAATGATTTTGAGGATCAACCATCATTGCAACATCATCATCGTTCGATAGTTCGAACGCTTTATAAGTTAGCGAAAACACCGATGTTGGAAATCTATACTGAAGCGAGGACAGTCTTCTAGTACTTCCAATATTCATTGAAATCTTCGTTATCAGCTCCTCAAGAGTTATGTTTCTCTTAAAAGATATTTTTAACAGAATGATTTGATACGAACACTTTAGATGCACGCGGTTCCAAGTTAATGTCGGATAAAAAGGATTTCAGTTATAGTTTTCCTTGCGATGGTCCGGACCGAGGTGGTACTTGTGATAATTCGACGTGGGACGCATTTTATTTGGCGGTTTTCTGGATGTTAAATTTCATTGGAATAAAAAATTAAAAATATTTACAATAATTTAAATAATATAATTTTATATTATTACAATATAAAAAAAATGTTTCGACGTATGATCACACTTTTCAATTTTACAACCGCAAAAAAATAATAAAAAATAATTAGTAAAATAACTTTTTTTTCAAATAATCATATATAAAATAAATATAATATATTAAAAAAATACCTTACAACAAAAGATCGAAAGAACTGGTGAAACAAATATATAAGGAATTGATGTGGTGATGTTTACGGTTGAAGGGGTGTTATTTATAGGCGATGGGAGAGTTTAAAGGCCGAGAAATTTGGAACCAATAATGGAAGGCGCTGATGGTGATTCGAGCCTTACAGTCGCGTGTCAGAATCCAGAAAGGTGCGGATCACCATTCGCGCCTTACCCTTACGTGGCGCCAGCTCGGATAAGGCGCGGACGTGGCGCTAGCTCGGACGAAACCCCGTAAAGGCACGGATGACAATCTGCGCCTTGTCAAAAAAGGTACTAGATCGATAAAATTTGACGAAACGGTATCTAACATGTAATTAATTCAATCTTTTGGTAAAAACACCATCTTTTGAATCATTAAAGGACATCTTTTACAAATCCGGTTAATATATAATAGTTAAATGAATGGGTAGATCTGGGATCCACCAATACAAAGACAAGATAAGAATATAGTTCAAAACATCTTCTATCACATCCGAAGTATCCTTTACTAGAGTTACTTAACGAGTTTAGCAGCTCGTGAGTAGTTCGAACTCGATTTAATTAAAATTCGGTAAACACTTAAATTGAGTTGGCTCGACTCGAACTTAAACTCGACTCGAGATCTTGACGAGCTGAGTCGAGCAAAGTCTAACTCGACTCGATAAGTTTGCGAGCAGCTCGTTAATTTTTTAAAATATATTTTTAATAATTACTTCAAAATTATTTCATTCAAAAAATAAATCTAAATAATAATTATTAATTTAAAAAAAATAAAAAATATAAGTTAACTAATCTATTATTTTTAATAAATAATAAATATTATTAATAATAATATTATTTTAATACAATAAAACCCAATCCTAATCCTCATATAGTATTAGTAAATTTTATTTAGTTAAAAAATAAGGAGCTTAACGAGCAACGAGTCGAGTCGAGCAGCAAAATTTTTTAACGAGCATGAGTCGAGCACTACCCAACTCGCGATCGACTCGCTCGATAAACACCCATATCCTTCAAATAGTTAAATTTCACTGATCAAGATGTAATAAATCTAGAATAAATGATAAAATTATATATATTTTTAAAATCAATGATAAAATTGAATAAAAATAAATAAAAGTGACCAATTCATGTAGTTTGCCCAAAAATAATAAAATATGGATAAGTGTCCTAAGCGGAATGTGAGAGACATACAAGCGCTAGAACTTCCTTCCCATTTGAAAACTTCACATTCGAAAACACGCGCTAGAACTTCCCGTTTGAAAACTTCCCATTTGAAAACACGCGCCAGAACTTCCCGTTTAAAAACGAAACGAGTTCAAAAAATTTAATCATTCCAGATTTTTCGTTTCCATCGAGCATTATTGGAACGAACTAGAGGTATTCGAATTTCTCTGTTTATCTTCTTGTAGGGTAATGGGTTCTTAGCTTCTTCTTCTTCTTTTGATGATATGAAACTGCGATGTTCTTCTTTTTTTTCGGCAAGTGAATTTACGCCTTTTTTTTTTAATTAATTAGTTTGATTTCGGTTCTATTTTGGTTTAGGAATCGAGAATTTCCACAGATATTTTAGATTATGGGGGCCTTTTGTTCAAAGGAGGAGATAGATCGACATCGTTCGGATCCATCCGCTTGGGATTCTTATATTCCCAATTATGGTGAAGGAAATCCATATTATGAGCCCTTACTTCCTCCTACATACGGTTTAACTTATACTGATTTCTCCCCGAGTGCCCCGCCGTATCCGGAGGATAGTCATACCGACAGCTCAGCTACCACATCCCCAAGTTCTACTTATGATAGACTGGTACGAAACCTTTAACACAATTCTTCCGTCTTCTATTGAGAATAAATGTCCTTCGCATTCGATTTCCGATCCGAAATCCTAAAGGAGCAGGTATTCGAATTTCTCTGTTTATTCTTCTTGTAGGGTAATGGGTTCTTAGCTTCTTCTTCTTCTTTTGATGATATGAAACTGCGATGTTCTTCTTTTTTCGGCAAGTGAATTTACGCCTTTTTTTTTAATTAATTAGTTTGATTTCGGTTCTATTTTGGTTAGGAATCGAGAATTTCCACAGATATTTAGATTATGGGGGCCTTTTGTTCAAAGGAGGAGATAGATCGACATCGTTCGGATCCATCCGCTTGGGATTCTTATATTCCCATTATGGTGAAGGAATCCATATTGAGCCCTTACTTCCTCTACATACGGTTTAACTTACTGATTTCTCCCCGAGTGCCCCGCCGTACCGGAGGATATCATACCGACAGCTCAGCTACCACATCCCCAAGTTCACTTATGATAGACTGGTACGAACCTTTAACACAATCGATTTCCGATCCGATCCTAAAGAGCAAAGACTTGAAATTGTTAACTGCATATTTAATACTTATTTTCTGTTGCAAATGATTTTAACAGCTTTGTCAAATCTGCTTTGTTAACTCGAAAGACACGGCATTCGGTTGCGGACATCTGGTAAAACATCTCGACACACTTGTTCTCATCTGTTCTTGGTGTACATCGTAGGCGAAGATGCTAACATAATTCTTCCCTCTTTCTTTTTTCTTCTCTTAGACCTGTGAAGAATGTGCCGAGGGCCTCCGAGTGTGTCCGATATGCCGGAGTCCGATCCAAACCAAAACAAAGCTATACTTTTGAATGTATACACACACAAAGAAGAGAGAAAACATGGCTTGCCCATTATATATGGTTGATTTGTTATTGAGAACATGCACATTGTGATAGGTTACACGGGAGGACGCTTCAATTGGGTGGCCCAAATCATTCTTTGTGTAGAGTCACTTTTTGTTAATGGACATTTCATTATTTTTGTATGGGTTTGTAACTTGATATTGTTTAAGTAAAGTCTCGGGTTTAAATCATTGTGTATGTAGAAAATTTTTGTTGGGAGATTCACTTACCAAAGTCAGGTGTGCAACGCAGTTCAGTTCGAATTAGTCGGAACTGGGAGGGCAACAAAAAAAGTTAAAAGTTCTAGATTTTAAACTTTCTTTTTTTCTTAAAAATGATCTTGTTCATTTTGATTCCCTTGACCACCTCGTAATTTCTTTTTCCCTTTTAATCTTATCATGTTTTTGTTCTCGATGATTTCTTTGTTGGGTGTTTGTCTTTAAGGATCTGATAAGTTGGCTCTTTTGTTTGTTTGTTTTTTTTTGGTGGATTCGAATATGGATTCTTTGGTTATATAAGGGATTTCGGGGTGATTTAGAGGGTGCCCAGATTGAGATTTTTGGGGCTTCGATGGAATCTGGCATTTTTTAGTTATGATCTGAAAGTAGCTCTTGCACCCGATGCTAATTATGATTACAGAGTTGTAGATCATATAAGAAAACCTCCTTGGTTACTACGTGTTTGATAAAATGTATGTTTGGAGTTGGTATGCATGCATGCATGCATGTATGTCTTTCATTGTTTGGTAAGGTGTTTTGGAGTCGGTTGTGTAGTTTTGATTTTTTGATGCTAATATGAATCTCAATATATGTATGTATGTATGTCTTTCATTATTTGGTAAGGTGCTTGGAATTGGTTTTGTAGTTCGACTTTTTGATGCTAATATGAATCTCAAGATATGTATGAATTTAGGTATGTATGTATGCATGCATGTAAACTATTGAGATGCTTATTTTAATTTCAATACATGTATGCATGCATTTGTGCTTGTCTTCTCTGTTATCTTTGATCTGACAAATTATTGAATGCAAACCATCACATGCTTTTGCTTGTTCTTTTTTTGAGATACTTTAGTAAGTACTGAGATTCTAATTGCAGTAATGGGATAAAATCCAATTTCACCATGATTTATGTCTGGTTTCACTAGCATTTCTAGCCGTAGATATCTACATTCGTATCCGATACGAATGAGCTAAAACAACCATTCGCTTTGCTTGCAGTCTAGCCGGTTGCGGAGCGAAGGCTACTACGGAGGTGTGCGACTGGTTTTGTTGATCTGTAAACACTTCTATAAGCATTGTAAGGATAACGGCATAAATCTCCGACCGGGGAACTTCACACTATCGTACGATACTAATATCCCTCGCCAGGTAGCTAGGAATAGCAATATGAGAAATTCCTATACCCTTTAGATTGAACACATAATGTTGTTTTAAATGTTCTTGTGTTAATCTTACATCAATGTATGGCTTACACTTACCAATTTTCAGGCCGGACTTTCGGGGTCCAGCGCTATCGTAGCCGCTGCACTTGGCTGCCTTCTTGATTTTTACAATGTCCGGCATTTGATTAAAGTAGAAACCAGGCCCAACCTTATCCTTGGTGCAGAGAAAGAGCTCGGAATTGTTGCCGGCCTTCAGGATAGAGTGGCACAAGTCTATGGAGGCCTCGTCTACATGGTATGTTTTCTTCGTGTAAACCAAGTCTATGGAGGCCTCGTCTGACGTTTATATCGAACACCGATTCGTCTCGGTTCTAGATGACGTATCACTTATGAATTGAGGGGCTCATTGTAACTGTACTATGCCTGCTGCAGGATTTCAGCAAGGAACACATGGATAAGTTGGGACATGGCATCTACACACCCATGGATGTTACTCTTCTACCGCCTCTCCATCTCATATACGCCGAGAATCCGAGCGATTCAGGAAAGGTTAGCGTTTGTTTTACATTTTACCTGATTTTTATATACTTTCTGACATAATAAATACGACTTTTAAATCGGACATACGGTGTTCTGAATTCTGAGTCTATTACCGAAGTAGCAAAATGAGGGTATATCGATTCGAATACAGGTACATAGCACGGTGTGGCAGAGGTGGCATGATGGTGATGAATTTATTATATCAGCAATGAAAGAAGTTGCAGATATAGCAGCAGAAGGGCAGAGTGTAATACTCCAAAAGAATTACCGAAGGCTTGCAGAACTCATGAATCGAAACTTCGACCTCCGAAGGTAATGATCGGAAAGATCGATTGTACTCTGTCTTACGATTCTCCGTTCAAGTTCATGTTACTCGAAATCGAAGATCGAAAAGAACTCCATGTTTCGGCTAAATGCTGTCATTATGCGGATCTTATGCAGGCGCATGTTCGGGGACAAATGCTTAGGTGATTTGAACATAGAAATGGTGGAGGTGGCTCGGGGGGTCGGTGCAGCTTCGAAATTCACCGGGAGCGGAGGGGCTGTGGCTGTGTTCTGCCCAGACGGGCCGTCGCAAGTGAAGCGTCTCGAAGACGAATGTCGGGAAGCCGGATTTATCATCGAACCTATACAAGTTGTTCCTTCGTGTTTGAATGATGTTGATCTACAGACATTATCGAAGTAGGGATCACAGATGAAATAACATTTTTATAGAATAACTGGTAATGGAACTTTTAAATAAAACCTTGTTAGCGGCTTGATAGATATTAGGGTAAAGTACAAAAATGGTCCCTGATATTATAGGGCTTTACTTTATTGAATCCTTCTATTATTATAAGTTATAAAATTATCATTCAATTATAGATGTAACACCCCAATTTAGGGGCTAAATTTAATAAATTATAAAGTGGTGGATTTAATTTGGTATTTTGAAAGAAACAGTGGGTTAAATTGTAAAAATTTTAAAGATGGAAGACCGTTTTAAGAAGTATAGAAAGTTAAGTGGCTAAACTCTTGGTTTACCCATTTTTTATATAGGATGAATTATAAATTTCTTCTCCCCGTGCGCAGGTTCTCATTTTTTTTCCAGTTTTGTCTTCTCCAACTACCCTCCTTTCAATTCCGATCTACTCGCCGTCTGACCTCCGATCGACGATCCGAAACCACCATCGTGTTCGTTGTCAGCCGAGGAACAAAACCCCTCAAACCTTTCGTAGTGAATCATCGCCGTTCGTCGTTAATTTCAGTCGGAAGTATCATCGGTAATAACTCGGTTTTAGTTGGTTTTTCATCGATTCACGACGATCGGGTCATCTGTTTACGACACCTCCCGCACCATCGTGTTCGTTGCATCGTTCCGAGTTCGCCGGTGTCATCCTTGGTCTCCGTCGACGGTGGCGCGTGAGGAGGTGAAGCGGTCAAAGTTTCCAATTTGTTGAAATCGAGCTCTCCGCCGTTCAAAATTGTGAACCGAGCTTTGTAAGTATCTCGAAATCGCTCAAAATAATTTTCGGAAAATTTTCCGGGATTTTAGCACTGTTTACGCGCCCCCACGCGCCGCCACTGCGCGTGGGGAAGAAAAAAATGACCGATTTGACATGTTTTGGTGCATAGTTGACCGGTTTGACCGGTCATAACCCGACCCGTTTACCCGACCAGTTGACCCGACCCGACCCGTTGACCCGTTGACCCGTTGATCGGCGTTGACCACTGTTGACCGAAACTTTGTCCGGCTTTGACCGAGAAGGCCTCGAAATTGCCGGTCAATCCCGTTGACTTCGATTTTGACCGAAAATTCCAAATTTCCGAAAAGTCATATTTTATGCTTTCGACGTCCTGAATCCGAATCCGAAGTCCGTTTCGCCAAATTCGAACCCGGTAAGCCGTCATTCACTGATTTATCACCCAATTCGATAAGTTTATCGTAATTAAGCTCCGTTTCTGATATAATTAATGTTGATATGTATCTGAGGAATTATTGGAAGTTGAATTGAAGATCAAAGGCGTTCGAATGGAATTTTTATGGTCAATCAGTATTGCACGAAAATCGAGGTAATATTTTACCACCTCTTTATGCTTTATGGAACATGTTGATATTGATAAATGCATGAACAAGATAATGTTGGTCACTTTTGTGGAGTTGAATAATTTATACACTCGATATGATGTGGTAGAAATTCTGTAACTGATTACAGATCGAATGACAAATATAAGAGATTGAGGAATTGTTAGATTAAATTATAAGTTTGTGATTAGTGATAAAGAAATCAGCCCTGTATCTGCAACTTATAATTTATTTTATCAAAGGTTAAATGTTAAAGGTACTTGGATGAGAAATTATGAGAACACCCCGATAGGGTAAAATTACAAAAATACCCTTATGTTATAAAAAGATAAGATTTGAATATGGAAGTTAGATAAAAGGATTTTACAGACATATTGATCTGATAAAAATATTGATGTGCATAGAAATGGTAGTTTTATTTGGAAATTATGGATAACCGGTTTTAATCTTACGAGAGTTTGTGAAGGATACTAGAAGTATGTTAAGAAAACCGTTTCAAGATCAGAGAGTGTTCAAGAAAGCAATTAATCATAGGATCTCTAAATTATACTATTTTCGTTAAGAGCTAATATCGAAATTATCTGGTTAAGAAATTACGGAAATACCCTTAAGAGGTAGAATAGTCTAAGTTGACTCTGAATGAGAAAATACTTAGGGGATTCGTACTTAACTCGATTAAGTACGGATTTAATTGTTAAGATCCTGACTTAGTACAGGAAAATTCCTGATATTCCGTTTGTAAAATCTGAGAAGGAACTTGGCCCGGAAATATCCGAGTTATGAGTAAATACCTGAAGAACAATTTGTCGGGGTTTGTTCTGTTGTCAAAATTGTTCGAAAGGACTGAAATAAATGATAAGATTGAATTTAATAGTAAGATCAGACGGAATGAAATGATTAAATTACATTGAATTTGTACAATGACCAAAACACTGTAATAGAAATGACCCAAGAATACCACCAAGCTCAAGAATGATTGGATATCCTCGAGCTCTGAAATGAATGGAACAAAACTGAACACCAAAATTACCAAAATACCCTTATGGCCTATAATAAGTAAATGTCTTGGATTAATTAAGGAATCCAAATAAGCATAGGTGTTGGACTACCTTTAAAAGTTATGGAACATAACTTAAGTGAGTCGATCAACCTTAATAATATGTCTGTACCTGAATGACATAGATATTACTTGAATGCATGTTCGTCTACTCAAGTTTAGCTCAATGATAATTTTGGAAGTATTCAGCTCAACTAAACTCTAGATTGCATTCGGTACTAAGAATTGGATATTTGTTAGACAAATCAACCACGAAGACCAAACTGAACTGAACGGGAGTACAATATGTATCTGAAATTCAGAAACGTCCGGAATTACTCTGGAAAATCCCGAAGTAACTGGAATAGACTTGAATGCTAAATGAACTCTTCCAATGGTGATTCTAAATTCCAACATTCTATCGACATACTGAATAACTGTGTTTCTCTGCCTGATACAATACCTCTAAATAATACCTGTAAACTTTGGTGTGTTCCCTAATTACATGAATATTTTATCTGATTTTCGATTTGAATTCTGATCTGATACTTGACATGGATTCTGATATGATATCTGACATGGATTCTGATATGATACTTGACTTGAATTATGTTTTGATTTTTGATATATCCGTTTACGGACGGAACATGTTTTATTTGGGGATATTGTTGGAGGTTATTACATATGCAGGTTCCTCGGCTTTATGCTCGGGGCCTTACTTGGTGTGTTGGTGGGTGTACGGTTCTGGGGAACCTACACATTATGGTGTGTTGGTGGGTGTATGGTTCTGGGAAACCTACACATTATGGTGTGTTCGGTTGGAGGGATTACTATGGTTTTTGATAAATGTTTTATGGGAGGGTGTTGTTGGAGGAAGTTATCGTTACCATTACTGCAGGCTCCTCTGCTTTGTGCTCAGGGCCTTACTTGGTGTGTTGGTGGTGTATGGTTATGGGGAACCTACACATTATTGTGTGTTTGGTTGGATGAATTAATATGGTTTTTGAATAAAAATATGTTTTGAATTGCCACTGTTTTAAAAGAAAAGATATGTATATTTTCACATGTTTTGCGGGAACACATTAGATAACCTATTCTGATCTCCTAAACTCAGTCATCCGAAATATTTCTCTGAATTGAAAGCTCATTGTCCGTTACCACCTGAAATATCAGTAGGATCTCTGCTCAGCATAAAAATATATAAATGTTCGGAAACAATAAGGAAATAAATATTTATCTGTATCTGCACGTTCATCAGCATCATCTGGTAGTTCTGTATTACTGAGCTTTCCAAACCTCACTCTATTACTCACCTTTTCAGGTTAAAAGAATTGTATCAGTGCATCTATCGACTTCAGTAAGGGAGTTCGTCCGGCGTTGTTGTAGAGTATGGTACATGTGATTAGGGGGCATGTAATTGTATTTTGATTTATATACGTGTTTGAAAATCTGTTTTATTTTTAAATAGCGAAAACTGATTTTATAAGTTTACTTGTTCCGATAAAAAGTTTTAAATTTTCCGCTATTTTTACAGTGAGTCGCTCCGGTGGCCCTAATGTGACTTCCCGGATCGGATCGGGCTACCCTTATCGGTCTGTGGGGGTTACAATAGAATATTAATTTGTTGAGTCTCTTAATTATTAAAAGTTAGAAAATAGTCACTCGACTATTTATATGTTTCGAACGTGTTCTTTTCTGTTAAAAATTGGACAATTATTTAAGCTGGACGTTAATATGTTAAATTAGATATGATAAAATTTGATCTTAAAATTGTTTAAACTGTATAGTCGTTTGAGATTTTGAGATTAAATTTTATCATATCTCAATCAACAAGCTAACATTAAATTCAGACGATCATTTATTTTTTAACACAAAAAGACGATTTTAAAAATATGAATAGTCAGGTGACTACTTTGTAATTTTTAATAATCGAGATACTCAACAAAATAATATCTTATAATTAAGAGATCACTTTATAATTTTTAATATTACAAAACAACAAAAAACCATTTATGTACTTTATCCTAAATATTTTTTATTCCACCGTTATTTAAATATCTAAAATATACTATTAATAATTTTAATAATATAATATTATATTTTTTAGTATTATAATAATATATTAAATTATACTATAATAATAAATAATATTATATTTTTATTTTAATGATATATAAGAAATTATTAATAATTTTTTTTATCAATTTCATAAAATAATATTATTAAATTTATATATTTAATAATATTTTTTAGAATATAATATTGATGAATATTATTAAATAAATTATCTTAAAATATGAAAAATAATAATATTAATTAATTTTCAATAAATAATATTATTTTTATATTTTATATTTATAATAAGTAATTTTAAAAAAAATTAACAATCAATTTTCTCTCATTAGTGTACCGCTCAACTATTTTTCTTCTTTTGTTTATCGGAGGCGGCACCAACTTTAATATTGGTTGTCGACCGTTGATATATTTTATTTTCTACTTATTTTCTATATCGTATTTTTTTTTTCAATAAGTTTATCTGTGTTGCACGTTTTTATATGTCTTTATGGCACATTTTCTTATACTT